AAAAATGTTTAAAAAATTGTGACATCATAAAAGAAGCAGGAACCCTGAAATTTTGGGAATCCATTTATTTGCAGTTGTTTCACCAGGGGTCATGTTTGAAAAGAACCAGTGTCCCAGCCCTCTGCCTTGTCTCTCCCCAACCATCTCCATGCCATGAACTCTGGGCAGTTCTCCAAGACCCAGGTGAAACCAGCTTATTCAGGCACTTTCTCCTGTAATCGTCAATGTTGTGCTCCCACTTCTAGAAACTTCTAAAGTTTAATTTCCTCTTGGGACATTGCTCACAGAATTCTGCTAAAGCCACATGTCGGAGGTCAGCTTCATTCTAGAGAACAATGAGGAGCAAGCTGCGATTTTTATAATAGAGAGATGATGTGAACGAAAGTGAATAAGAAACTTCTTGAAAAGTTTGATATCTTCATTCTATTTAACCACATAAGCATCCTGCTATCTAAAGAAACATTCCATTCATTGGTATAAAAAACCAGCTCATCCTGGCTTCCCATTGGTCAAGCTCTGCCCTCAAGTGTATTAAAATCTCAGGCAGCTTCACTGAACCCAACTGACATATGAAGAACAAACTATAAAAATGGGATAACTGACTAAGAAGTGGAACACTAAGGACCCACTGCATTTCACAGCAGAACACAGGTTGGGAAATCTTCTACAAAGACTCCTGAGGTCCTCTTCACCTCTTGCAGCTGGTTTTAAATTATTATTATCGAGATTTTAGGTAATATTAATTTCAATCGCAGCTAAGAACAATGTCAGTACTACCAGATTCTGAGCACCAAAATATATTTAATCTTTACAAGACAACAAAGATGGCTCGGGAAAGTTAAGTGATCTGCCCACAGCTATTCAGTGGTGAAGTCAAATTTGAAATAAGATGTGAACGCAGACCACAGAACCTGAGCTCCTTCTGTTGGCCTGTGTCCAACACCTTTACAGTCTGTTGCATACATTTCCAATCTTCTCCACATACCTAAGTTCATGAGAGCAGTGAACAAATGTTTTCTTTGTATTTCCTTTGGTGCTTTACATATGATCCCAAGAACCTCTTGGTGAATGAATGGCAGAATTGTAGGGAGCTGATAATGCAGGGTAAAGGAGAGAGAAAGCCACTTTACAGGCCCCTACCACAGGGAGTCAGCCCTGCTTGGCTTCACCAGCAGAGTGACTTTCCTGGCTAGGTCAGAAAAAGTATTAAGAGTGGCTCCCTCCCTCATGAGGAAGCCAGCTGCCATGCTGTGGTGACAACTGAGCAGCCCCATGGAGAGGCCGACACATTTCATCAGCACTATCCTGCCAGGCATGTGAGTAAGCCACAAGGGAAGTGACCTTCTAACCCAGAGAGTCTTTAGATGACGATAGCCTCAGGCAACAACCCACTTCAACTTCCTGGGCAATCCTGAATCAAAACTAGGTAGGTGAGCCCCTTCTGAAGTTCTTACCCATAGATACCAGGAATGGTAATAAATGGTTATAATTGTGCTAAGCCATTGATTATGGAGGTTTTTATGCAGCAATAGGTAACTAATATACAAGACATTGGGAATGAATTCCACAAAAGAGTTACGTCTGGAAATAGAAACATCAAAGGAATTGTGGGAATAAAATAGGCAAAGTGTGGGGGGCTGTAAGAAATAGAAAATGCAAATGTTGTAAAGAACCATCCCACAGAGAACCTCAGACCTGGAAGACATTTTAAGGGTCCTTCAATCCAACCACTCATTAAATGCTAAAGACAATTTACAAAGTAATAAAACTAAGGCAGAGGACTGTATGAATTTATCAACACTGAAACCTAGAAACCTGACTGCCTACAGCTCTCCCTCAATTAGTGAGACATGAGAAATTATGTAGTCCCCCCTCTTCTGTGGCTTTGTTTCCAAAGTTTCAGTTATCCATCATCAACCATAGTCAAAAGTATTAAACAGAAATATCCCACATATAAACAATTCACAAGTTTAAAATAACTTTTATTACAGTATGTTGTTACAATACTATTCACTGCTATGAGGGGAAGAAGGAGGGACTGTAGTCATAACACAGAACATATTCTAAGGCTGAATTGAGGTTACTCCCCAAAGCAATTTAAATAAGAAATTGAGGGAGGAGAGGGGAGAAAGCAGGAGGAAGGGAGAAGAAGGAGGAGGAGGGAAAGGAGGAAGAGAGGAAGAAGAAGGCCATAATGTTAAGTAAAATAAACCAGACACACAAGCTTAAATACCACACTGTTTCTCTCATGTGAGAAACCCAAGAGTCAATAAGGAGCAAAATGGACAACAGACATAGGGAAGTAGAAAAAGCATGTTCAAATGGGAAGGGGAAAAGAGAAGGAAAGGAAAAGAGATTTTTAAAAAGAGAATGGAAGGAGAAAAATGGAAACAAAGCGCTCGTAAATGGGGAGGGGGAAAAGGGTTGAAGGGAGTGGAGAAGAATGTAAACAAAAGAAGAGTTAAGACATTATGAAGATGTACAATCCCCCTATGATGGATGTGATAATTATGTATGGCAAATATGTACTAAGAAAAATGAAAAGGAAGAAGGAGGAGGAGGAGGAGGAAAAAGAGGAAGAGAGGGAGAGGAAGAGGTGATGGAAGACATAGGGGATGGGAGAATAAATGAATCTGTCAAAATGCTATGAGGTAGGCATTGTCCTAAGCTCTTTAAACATGTCCTGCCTTTCCTCGCGACAATTCTGTCTTCAAATTATTTTAGTTCTATTTTTTCCTCTTGCTTCCCCTTCCCCCATTCTATTGATCAGAAGTAGAAAAACTAGGAAAACCACAGAGAAGAAGGATCAAGGCATCCATGAAGCATGTAAACTTTGCATGGGGGAAAAAAACCCTGAGTCTACAGTTAAGGGTCCAGCAAGGTTCAACTAAGAGAGAGTCCACTCAGACTGGGGCCTTCTTTTCCTTGAGAACATAAGGCTACATTTTCTGAAGTCCTTATTAGTGTAACTCTATTCAAAGGGAGAATGTACTAAGATGAAAAATTTTAATATCTACAACATCCCCTGTCCTAATATATGATATTTTACGAGTCCCAGAGCTGTTTTTATCAGAGGCCAGTAGAGGATCTAAGAACCCCACCGGGGGAAAGGTTCTCCCTCCTTATTCTTTACACAAGAAATTATAGGCCTTTAACCAAATGTGAGCATGAGGAAACCTGTCTGTAGTAGCCACCTGTGACTTGCACACAGCAGTTTAAGGGGAAGAAGAATGTTCAGGTCAGAATCAGAGGAAGACAAGTTAGTGGACATCTATGCCACCCTCTACAAAAAAGTTATATACTAGGCTAAGAGTAGGGAAAAGAATTCTGAACAGTTATCAAGATACTAAAACACCCCCTCCTCCCCTCCCCATCTATAATGTAACTGTACTGTATCCCTAAAATGTACCAATAAATTCAATTAAAGCTGAAAAAGATTCAACATCTCAAAAAACAAAAAAAAAAGATACTAAAACAGCTGATCATCCCTCTAGGAAAACAAAACAGTTTAATAAGAAAGGCATATTTGGCTTGGACATTTGGAACATATAACATATACCAATTAAAGGCCCGTAGGGTGATGTCAAAACATCTTTCTTAGTATGTCTAAGGGCGGAAAACCTAGTCCTTTAACAAATACCATACTTATAACATTATTGATGCACATGAAAGGGTAACCAACAGGAAACTCTAACAATGTTCACCAAGGTCACAGCCACAAGGGCCCAATAAAACACACTGGAAATAAATTAAGAGGATGCCCCAAGAAGGTTTTATGAAGAAGAATGGTCATAAAAATTCTTTCTCAGGAAAAGAAAAAAAAAAAAAAAAAA